AGCCTTGGTGTTGGAATGAACAGTTGTAGACCACCCGGTTCTTCCCATTATGTTGAACCATGTGATGGGGTATATACCAAGCTTCATCACTGGTCTCAGATTGATTGTCCGCCAACTTCAATACATAGCCAGATCCTACAAGCTTCTCTATCTCCTTTTGATAAGCAGCAGCTTGTTCTGGGGACTTGGCTAGGCGTTTCTCTATGCCTCTCAGGAGAGCCAACACTGCATCTGGTGTGGTTTTCAGGAGAGGCATGTTCTTGATACGAAGAAGGGGTGTAGCATAACGCTCAACACCACTGACATTGACTCTCACTGTCTGTTCTTGCAGGATCCTCACTGCCTCTTGATCTTGTCGTGACCTAACCGCTAACTTCTCACTACGGTACGGGAGCACATCCAGCTGCCATAGTTTCTCTACACAGGAGAACAGCTCTGGGGGTGATGATATAGATGTGAAGAGGCAGTGACCCACCTCTGTGAGGGATTCAATGGTTGGAGCTGGTCCCTGTAGCGTCCATCCGAGGAGAGTTTTCACTGCTGCCGGCCCACCAGTTGGTCCTAGTCTGACTGGCTCCACAGGTGTAATGAGGTGTGTGTAATCAGCGCCAATCAGCAACATGGGGCGGACTCTGTTTAGAGGAGGCAGAGGTAAACCTGACAGATGTTTATACTTCTGCTGGAGTGAGACAACTAGATGGGAATGTTCTGCTAAGCTCAGTTGCTCTGCTGTAAAGGCATTCTGGATGCTGTACACCTTGTCAGGGTTAGCTGCTGGGGAAATTGTGAAAGACACAGCCGCCCCGTGGAGCTTCTCCACTTCCTGTCTGACTGTACGAAGAGCTAACACCTCCTTGCTTCCTTTAAGGCCTAACTGTTTGGCAGCAGACTGAAGCAGGATTGTCCGCTCCGATCCATCGTCCAAAACAGCATATGTCTCAAGAGACTTGTCACCATTCCTCAGGAGTACCTTACTGATCTTCAGTAGCACCTTGCAGTTGTAGACTGGCCGGTCGATATACACGATTTTGCTGGCAGTGTTAACGAGGCAGTTTTCACCTGAAGGTGGAACTGATGTTTGTTCCACCTCTGCTCTCTCATTCACCTCATGCAGCACTAACAGATGTCTCCTACCACAGGTTTTGCAAGGAGCTCTAAGGGTACACTTTGCCGCTTGGTGATTACGTCCACAACGCCAACAGTTATTATTTGTTTTAATCCATGTCACCTTCTGTTCTTTGCTCAAAGTCTTAAAGTTAGAACAGTTGTTCAGGAAGTGCTTTTCGTTGTCGCAATAGGGACAGTAGGCTGTAACCTTCTCCTTTGACTTGTTGTCAGCGTGTCCAGATGCAGGTGGTGCTGTTACTCTATTTGTTCCAGAGAACTTCTCAGTGCTCAGGAGGATAGTAGCAGCTTTACTTGAAGGCTTGGGAGTGCGCTTGGCTTCAGGCTTCTTGTTAAACGACTCCTCTCTCTGTAGGGGGTTCATTCTGTCTTCCTGAATTTCTAGCTCATATTCTAGCCAATCAGCAAAGTCAATGAGGGTAGGGATGGCTACTCTCAGGGGGTGGATAAATCTCTTAAAGCTGGCATTGAGGTCATAGGGAAGTTTGCTTAAGAGCCTTGAAACATGAGAGCCGCAGGCTAACTCAATTTGACCTCTTTCCCCTAGTTGTTTCAGCATGCCTACTAGTGACCGCACGTTGAGGGCAAACAGACGAAAGCTCTTAACATCACCACTGCGTATATTTGGACCATCCATTAATTCTGCAATCCGTTGTACTGCAAGCTTGTGAGGCTGTCCATACATCTTTGTGAGAGCCAACATTGTGTCAGTGTAAGGTTGCCTTGAGTTGCAGTATGAGTCTGCTACAAGTGAAGCTTCTTCACATTGGAGGTGATCAGTGAGGATCTGGTACTTGTATCTTTCAGTAGCATCACCTGGTAATAAATTCTCTAAGGCAATCTTCATGCGTGCAAACTCTCTGGGGTCTGGTGATGTAAATCTGGGAATAGTGGGCTTCGGTCCTCTGTATGTGGTCTCTCTTTGTGGCTCATTACAGCCAGGAACTTGGTAAAATGTAGAATCTCGATGTGGATAGGAAAATGTGCACTGCCGCGGTGTGTCTGTGGGGTACAGGCTATGAGGCAAACCACCGGATGTTTGAGAAATTCTAGATTTAGTAAAATCTAAACACAGTTTTCCTTGTGAGCTGTATGTTGGATAGTGCAGCTGCTGGTATGCTGGAGTATTGGTAGGGGGTTGGTAATGTCCATAACCACCACTATAAACACTTTGAGATGGAGGAGGTGGGAACAGAGGCTGATGGGATGCTGGCTGGGACTGTATAGCAACCATCAGGCTCTGAAACTGTTTACGAAGCTCAGCATTTTCTTGGCGCATCTCTTGGAGAGCAGCACTAAACTCAGGAATTTGGTTGGTCTGCTGCTTCCCGGTGACTTGCTCCATAGATTGACAAAGCTCTCGTTCTTGCTCCTCATCATCCTCCGTGTTCATCGAGTCGAAGCTCTGGCTAATGGGCGGTGATGGAGATCTGATAATTGGACGTTCTTGTGCCATTTTCTCCACTGAAAATTCCCCTGCAGTTGCTGTTCGGAATCTACTCTGAGCTCCAGCTCCACTTAGGTCATAATCTGATAGGTAGGAAGGAACTGACGTTCGCCTTTTGGGTCGAGTGTCCATGGTCTCTGACTCTGGGTTCTGTATCTTTAAACAGCAATCTGCGATCCGGCTCGAAGGACCAATGAAAAATAGGGACTTTAATTGCTAGTAGGAAAGTTCAGATCGCTGTGGTGAGTCCGGTTAGAACTCCCAAGAAAGCAGAGTCCTACTCCAATAGGTCAAACTTGTCCTTGCAGTTTATTCATTAATTTCCATATCAATGTGTATGGTTTTCTAGAAAGACAACAAAAATATAATATCACTGTCTGAATAATTCTTAACAAATAACTAAACTGATATCTCACATTATAAACTGCATTATTAGTACAAACATCTCTTTTCTAACTAAATACACCGCATGAATAAGCAAACCACATTATTTAACTCTTAAGTGTGCACATAAATAAAACATGTCATAAACTAGAAGCAAACTGAAATACTTTATTAAACAAACAATGTCACTGACTTCTGACATTACTTACTTGCATTTCACGCACACACATCAAAAGGAAGGTGACAACAAAGTGCAACAGCAGGACAGAATCCACAAACTGAGAACGGTAAACTCCATTGCTCCTTTTTCCTTCTCTCACCTTCCTCATCTACATGCTACACAGCGGTGCCCTAAGCCCCGCCCCTTAAAGGGCTCAACACATCAAACTGTCAGGCAGCCTTTTTCACAAGCTCATTATCTGTGTAAATGGCATTGGTCTGCAGCCTAAAAAAGTCGGACCATGACCAACATCAAACATCTGTTGGCGGAAACAGGCATGAGTAGCGTGAATCTACATAGGTAATAAACTGTGGGAGCTACCTTGATGTGGGGAGCTCCATTTCATGTGCAGAGAGCTGGGGCCAAAGTAACAAAGGCTACCATCAGTAACACACTATCCTGAGAGGGCCGTGTCCCCCTGCTTAATGTCCAAAGGTTTGGATATCACGTGATCAGATGAGACCTAAATTGAGCCTTTTGGCTCCAACTCAACTGGTCGTGTTTGGAGGAAGCAGAATGCTGAGTTGCATCCCAAGAATACCATACCTACTGTGAGGCATGGGGGTAGAAACATCAAGCTTTGGGGATCCTGTTTTCTAGACAACACCTTGACATGGGTTTGCAAAATGCTTAATTTGGTGTGCCTGACATACTTTTTTTTTAAAAACAGTGTCCTTTCTGGCGATGTGACAATAAGAATAATTGTCTTGATGCCAAAAAGAGCCAAACAGATTTTACTTTCACAAGTGGAGCAGTACAGCTATTGCACTAGCTTGTTTCATGCATATAAATTGCTTTATCATAATTATGCAGGGAGTTTTACAGATTATATGGACACTGCAATGTAGGTAGAACAGGAAAGGAAAAACTGAAAAAAGGAGAAAAGATGAAAGAAAGTGGAGATAAAAGGGAGACAATGATAAAACATTTTCAGACTGCTTCATCACCTGCAAAGAGATGTAAAAAGAACAGTACAACAAACAGACATGGTACGAGACATACAATAACGTAACACCTAGATACTAACGCTGAAGTAGTATTATTTAATCTGAGATGTGTTCTGTGTTACCTAAAGATAAGAATATTGGCTTTCTGTGTGGAAGTGCCTGACATACTTCGGACAGAAAATAAGAAAAGATTTTAGTTCTCACTCTATAAAAAAATAAAAAAATAAAAAATACTTTCACTAAAGACCAAAACGGTCTGAAAGATTTGAAGCATCAGATTTGTCTCTACCATGCTTCAATATTAGAGGTCTGTCAATAGGATATGGCCTCTGTGCATCCTGTCTTAGTCCACACACTGCACCAGCAGGTTGAAAGGCTCCTCTATAATTGGTTAATAGTGCCCTCTGGTGTGATAAAACAAACATAACATGTTTCGTCTCTATAGGTTTACTAATTCTAAAAATTAAGCTACATCATGTTAATGCAGGTTAAAAAAAATCTGTATTGCTAAACAAGTCTAATTATTGGTTTTATTGTTCCCATTTTAATGTGGTGGCTATTACTTCCTCTAACAATTCATATATTTGTCACATCAAAGAAGATATTAGGAGAGAATTGAAATATCCACATTAGTAACTATTATTAGTTAAGTGGAGTTCTGTTAGACTCTTCCAAGAAATATTCCGGGAATGTTTCCCAGGTTGAGGGCGAAACACTTTTTTCCTGAGTCTTTGCTGGTTGGGGGGAGGGTACGGTACTCAAGCACAATGTTTTCTTTTCCTCGACTTCAAACTCACACAGATTAACTTATAGTCCAGTTCTATTAGACCCCTCCCACATTTCTTATGTAACAAAGTCATCAGGACTTAAATTCTTTTTGTCCAGAGAGAGGAAAACATTTCCAAAGTTTCCAATTTTGTGTCGAGGCTACAAGGTAGGTCCTTGGATATTTTCTGCAGTGTTAATAGAAAACTTAAAGAAACTTGACTTATGGCTGAGTTTACTCTTTAACCAAGCATCAGCATAGCTAAAAAGAACCAGATAACCAATTAAGGCACAATTGTTCAAAGTTGTTTAAGTACATGTACTTTTACATAAAAGGATGCATGTTTAAATTAGATACTGAACTAACACAAAGCATTAGTGAGTTCATGTGGTCCACTATTGCACCACTGGACTTTGATTCATTGTGCAACTATTTTATGCTTCCTTTGAATAAGTGTTCTGCAAAGCCTTTAAGCCATGCCATTGTGGGAGAAAATCCTGATCTTGAAATTCACCTAAGATGTGATGCTTTAAAACTCAGAACTGCATTTTCTGGGTACCAGTGTGTGTAAAGGGTTTCAAAAGCTGTTGCTGAGCCTTGTATGTCAGTTTAAAAGCTAAGGAAAAAAACAACATGTTTTTCTTTACCACTGAAAATGTCTGCCATGCATAGAAAAAAGGAAACTTTAATGTTTTCCAGATGTTTGTGGTTTTTTTTTCGTTCTGAGACATATGTTTTTTTTTATAATACAAAACACTGTTTTTTTCTGAAAAAACTTTGAGAGAGTATTCATACCCCTTTGATTGTTCCACATTTTGCTAAAGCCTCAAACTCTAATATATTTAATTGCCATTGTGATCTTAAAAGTGTGGCTTTCACTTGAATTCCCCCAACCCTCATGTCATTAATTTGATAGCTCAGGTTCCTTCCTGAAGACTTTTAGAATATCCTTCTACCAGTTTTCCCTAGACTTAGTTGCCATTTTTATTGATTCTATTAGCTCAGAAGAAAACAATTTGTTGACTTCTCTGTAACTACTTTGTCCATTTTTCAGATGACAGTGGCACCCTGGCTCTAAGAGCAACACAGACATGGGCAAACACCACTGATGATAGTTTTGTAAATGAGAGGTCATACTGTATTAGGCGGGCAATTTATCTCCACCGTTTACATCAGAGACTGAGGAAATAGGGTGAAGAAACTATTTTCTATCTTTTAATAGGGTTTAGTAGTCTTGATTGACTGACCTGTCGCACCTTGACGATTTAGGTAGCGTATGCCTGATGTCCCAGAATCTTCTAAAACTTAGGAATACACAGATTTTTCTATGTATTTTTAAAATTTTGGGTGTATACATAGAGTATTCATAAAAAGAACTTATGTCCAATGGCAGCCTAACATATGTATAACGCACAGGCGCTTGGCCTACATAAAAGATTCCTTTGAGTGCAGTATTAATATAGCTGCTCTTTGTCACTTAGTAAAAAAAGAGGAAATAAAAAGAAAAAAGAAGAAGGAAGAACATGGATTTGCAGTCGCAGCAGTTTCATCGTCTTGTCAGCTAGGAGGTTTGTTGTTCAAGGCTGTGGGCATGAACGCAAGCAAGGATCCATCACCTGCACCTTCAAGCTCACGCTATGATGGGGATGAAGTCTGTAATTGACGGTTTCCTCCTGTGAACCCCCTTTTATACCAAAACTCTGCCAATACGACATTAAACAGTAGCTGTAAGCTAAAAACATGTTCAGAACACCATACAAATACGTCGATATGAGTTGGAGATACTGTAAGTTCTTGATACGTTACGCATAAGTTATGCACACATACTCATAGGTTTTAGATAAGCTAGACACCACGACTTATAAAAAACTTACACTTAATGTATGTCAATGATCAGATAACTTACCTGTAACTTATGGCCCACGTATGAGCATATGCTGGCATGCGAACTTGCCATATGTCGACATGAGCCAACATGCTTTAGCATGCTCATAACTTATACAAAATGTACCCATAACTTATCCAATGTATGCCAGCATTTTTGTCATATTTTTCATACGTCAGGCATACGCTGCCTTAATCATCACGGTGTGACAGGAGCTTAACACAGAGGCTACAGATCCAGTCGGAACCTTAATAACTTATGCGCTTAACTGGGTTTAAAATATAGGTCAGAGTTAAGCGTGTTAACAAAAAATGCAATAATTATCTTCAAATGTTCAGGTACTGGACTAAAGGGAATAAAAAAGTAGACCAGGACTACTATCATACAAGATTACTTCCAAAGGCTAGGAGAGAAAACAAGAACTAAATAAATGACTTAATAGATATGGCAGTTTTCTTTGTGTTGACCTTTATGTATACACTTTATATTCAGACACTGGGGTAAAATGACCTAAACAGTAGTTGCTATCGACATCTTTGTAAAAGAAAAACTACCAACTATGGTGTTTAATAGATATTTGCCACAGTAGCATGTAGGCTGTGCTTTTACAGTTGCTATAGGTTTCCTTATAAGTTTCTTTTTATGAACATTTTGCTCTCAGGGCATTCTGATGGGGAGTCTTCCAGGAGCGTCTCTCCTTCTTCTGGTGTTTACTGTGCCTCTCCTGATTGGTCCCAGTGTCCAGGCCGGGAAAATTATGGTGTTTCCAGTGGATGGCAGCCACTGGGTGAACATGAACCTGCTGATCCAGAACCTTCATGATAAGGGCCACGAGGTGACTGTGGTCCGAACTGCCACCAGCTGGTACATCAAAGAGTCAGCACCACATTACCGCTCCATCACTGTAACACTACCACAAGCCATAGCCATTGAGAAGGAGGACTTCTTTGTGAAGTTCCTAATCAAGATGCTGGAAATTAAGAGGGAAGAATCTTTGACAGGCTTTGTCAAGTTTTACTGGGAGATGCTGAATGCATTGTCAGACATTCACAAACAGGCCAGCTTATTAGGAGTTGAAATATTAGAGAACAAGACTCTTATGCAGAGTATTCGGGACAATCAGTTTGACGTTGTTCTGATTGACCCAGGTTTGCCTGTAGGAGTTCTGGTGGCTCATGAACTGAAGCTGCCAACAGTTTATAATGTGAGATGGATCACCAGTGGAGAGGGACATTTTGTTGTGGCTCCGTCTCCAACCTCATATGTTCCAACTTCTGCACACCCTGTGACCGACAAGATGAATTTCATCCAAAGATTCAAAAATGCGCTGTTCTATTTCCTAAACACATGCATTGACAAACTCGTTGTTTGCCCTCACTATGATAGACTGGTGCACAAGTACTTTGGTCCAGATGTAAAGTTCTATCACCTTCTTCAGAGCGCAGACATCTGGCTAATGAGAGTAGACTTTGTCTTTGAATTTCCCAGGCCGACCATGCCAAACATTGCCTACATTGGTGGATTTCAGTGCAAGCCCTCTGAACCTCTATCCAATGAGCTGGAGCAGTTTGTTCAGAGTTCAGGGGAGCACGGTGTCCTCCTAATGTCTCTGGGTACACTGGTTCAAGGTTTGCCATCAGAAATCACATCAGAAATAGCTGCAGCTTTTGCTCAGCTTCCTCAGAAAGTCATATGGAGGCATGTGGGCGAACGACCCAGCAATTTGGGCAATAATACCCTGCTAGTGAAGTGGATGCCGCAGAACGACTTGCTGGGTCATCCAAAGATCAAAGCCTTCGTGGCCCATGGTGGCACTAACGGTATTTATGAGTCCATCTACCATGGTGTCCCCATCATCGGTATCCCCCTTCTTTTTGACCAGTTTGAAAACGTCCTGAGACTGGAAGCACGAGGAGCAGCGAGGGTGGTTGATGCAGCTAAGCTCACCCGACAGAATTTCCTGGAAGCAGTGCAGGATGTTCTTAACAATCCCTCCTACAGAGAGAACATGAAACGCCTGTCAGCTCTCCATCGGGATAAGCCAATGCATCCTTTGGACACTGCAGTGTACTGGATCGAGTTTGTCATGAGGCACAAAGGAGCTGCACATTTACGAACAGAGTCTTACAGGATGCCCTGGTATTCATATTATTCTGTGGATGTCTTTGTGTTTTTGTTGGCCATTTTATTGATATTGACAGCATCTGTAGTAGGTTTTGTACAATTTATTTGCCTTCCAATATGCAGAAAGAGAAAATCAAAGCAAGAGTAATTATTTTGTTACAGTTAAATGGAAACGGTAATTTAAAAAAATAAGTAATCATTTTTGGATTAATATAGATTGTTAAAATACTCTATGTATGCGCAGGACAGGGAGTAACCGAAAATAGATTTAACAATGCCATTTTATTTATTGTTTAATGAAGGGGAAAAGAATGTGCAACTGTTTATGCCCCCCAAATTTTTGCAACATTACATTTCCTGGAAACAGATTGATCAGAAGTTGACAATCTCAAGGAAGTCACCACAAGGTCAGACTGGGAAATATATTTTAAAAACTAGAAACACTCAAAAGCTCCACCTTTAAGGCTTCAAATAGTTTTCTGATGTTAAATAAAACAACGGAACAAAAACACTGGATGGTTTATTGATCGGCTGAGGAAAAACGTATCCTTGAAACAGATTATTTGAAAAAAATAACCCAGGTTTGGGAAATAACAAGTTAAATCCAGCCCTGTCTGATGAAATGGGTGAAAATGCCTCCAGAAGGGTACTAATTAAGTCTGGAAAAATTACTGAAAATGGTTGTCTTAAGAATGTTTTATTTTTATTTTCATCTTTCTTTGATAATGACATTGTGGAATTTTCTATTTTTTTCAGTTAACAGTTTGGTTATTTCACTATATTCTGATTTGCAAACACCTAAAAGTGATTGAGTTTGTGTTTGCAGCATTCAAAATTCCAGAGCCAGAATTGTAGTTTTCTATGAGGGTTTTACTGCATATGCTTTTAAGAGGTGTGATCAAAGATTTAACTTAAATCCAATGTCCCCAGCTGTAACAAATAGAAGAGCAGACGTTTATGACTGAGTGAGAAAGAGCAAAACATGGATAAAACTTACTAGACTAGAGAATGATGTCAACAATCCCATTAAAAAATAATTACAGCAAGTAAAGCCAAAAACAACAAAAAACAGTAATAAGAAAGAGAAATAGATCAGAAAACATCTGGCAAAAGTTTGACCAACCCAGTAAGTATGGCAAACCCCTAACAGCAAAAATAACTGTGCAAATGTGCAAAGACCCAAACAGAAAAACTAATAAGATGCTTCAGGAAAAAAAAAAAAACATTCTTAAAGACATAGTGGAGGATGTTCTTTTTCTCCACTATGTCAAAATAAGTGGTCGATCTAATTGTCAATCATTCTGGTGATATGTTTATATAAGGCCATCTGATGTACTTGTCCGTGCTTGTGAGTTTGACATAGTAGGAAAAATTGCAAATTTGGAAAGTAGGCTTGTATGAGCGATGCAAACGGCGACGTTAAAACAGAGCGTGCAAGGAGTAATGGACTGGTGCAAGCTCTCGCAAGTGTTAAATAGGTGTTACCTCTTGAGAGAGGATACAAGGTTGTGCATGTGCATTTTTTATTAAAGTGGAGAGGGCACTCTTTTCAAAAATTCATGAAAATCCTCCCCTATACCTTTAAGCTCCATATAAAAACCTAAAAAAAAAAATCACTTTGAAAAGTAATAAGAAACAGTTAAAGTGCACAGAAAAATAAACATAAAGGTAGATCAATAGACTCAACAGAACCCCAAATGTACAACTTGATTGTATGTGATTTCAATCCTATCTAAAAATCAGCCAAACCATCTGTTAAAGAAGCCAATAAAACTGCAAAATATTAAGTGATTTAAAAAAAAAAGGATTAGGCGGCCTTTCCTTGGAGGTTTTTTTTTTTGCATGATAATGACTCTCACTGTGGTCCTCTGGTGTCGCAAACCTATAGATTTTAGACTGCATAATTAACTCATGCTCTTCAAGTTTTTATATCCAAATGTGTTGTTTTATGCCTGCTTACATCATTTTGTCAGAAAGGCTCCTATATGAGTGATTTTTTAACCCTGCCAGTGAGTAACTAGTAAACTTGAGCTCTGCTTTGAAAAAAAAAAAAAAAAGGTTAAATCAGTCTTCTTTAATGTACAGGATGATTACCTTGTTACCTTATTTTTTCCCCAAATAAAATATTCATCATTTGGAACTGCTTCTTGTACCTAATCATGTGTTGCAGTAGGTTTAATTATAGTATACCCTGTATTTTTAAAGTTAGAAGATTTCAATCTGAAAACCTCACACAAAGAGAAAATACAATTAGAAGAAATTTATTGAAACATTTACTCTTAGGCGCTCAGACCTCGGCAGGAAACATAGAGCTTAATTATTTGTATCGATATTTATGAACAGGAGTAACGAATAGGGCTGTTTCCCCCTAGATCTATTTTTGCCAGGATGAATGTAATTATCTTTGATACGTAAGTTGCAAGGTTAGTGCAAGAGAATTGGAATATACAGGGCAAGCTAAATAGAAATGATAAAAATATTTTGATAATAAATGATGAAGATGATTCTTAATTGCTAGGCTTGAAAAAAAAAAACAACCTGAGCTAGGGTTTGTGATATGATTGGCGTGCCACATAATGACACATGAGAAATTAACACCCACCTGGTTGAGACATAGTCCATTCTTAGTTGCAGAATCAGGGAAATGTTTTCCTTGGCTCCTTATAATTTCTTGACATGGACCAAAGTGCTGTAACCATATGATTTTTCTGCTAAACTTAGATTAAATAATGTTAAATTCTGAGTCTTTTTCTGAGAGATGTTTAAAAAGAAGTTTTATTTAAAGAGCAATCAATCCTGGCTGAAACATCTGCAAACAAGCACCTCTAGGGGGCAGCAGCCTACATTACAAAGACAAACAAACAAAGCATGCAAAGAATTTAACTTAGTTATCCCACCACAACAGTCAGGAGGAAGGCTGGTGAGGAAAAAGGAACAACCCTCCCGCCCCGCCCAAAAACAAAAACTGTTTGTTGGAGAGCTAGTAACGAATAGAAAACTCCATAAAATGATTGTCTTCAAAGATTTAGCACACAATTTTAAAGGTGCTACAGTATATATAATATTTCCCTCATTGACTGAAGCTGAGTTTTTCATGAATAGTCGGTCAATCCAAACATTGCAGCCATTATTTGTTCATAGAGATATGGACATACAACTTGAAATCAAATGTGACTCGACTCGCAATTTTAACACTTTTAGCTTTATGTTCATACATTTTACAAAAGACTGGATTACTTGAGGGGAAAAGATGTTAAAACATCATCTGAGAAGTTGCACGCTTCTGGGCTATTTGTCAATATTTTCTCCTTTTGTTGCTGCATCATCCTAGAAAAAGCTGCCGATAGTGGAAATGTCAGGTAGGTGAGCTCTGCAGATTGTCAGCAACACTAAGCCTGGGCAACCATAGAACACAAGAATCAATGCAATGAGGGAAAAGCCTTTATATTAAGTTAAATATTGAACTGAAGTATGCCCATCAGAACAGAGCCAGTGACAGAGATATATGTGCTACTAGCATTTGTATGTGCTAAGATTCAAATACTTTCAAAATATGTGAGACTTGCATGGAAAAGCATTGAAAATCTATTTTCTTCTCTTAATAATTACAGGAAATCTTTGTCTGAGGTATAATGAGGTAACAATTGCCACCCTTCCGGGACTTTAATTTAAAGGGCCACCTTACTTAGTTTTTTGGAGATTGCAGAACAGGAGGAGCTTGATTTTGTTTGAGCAACAACAACTGTTTCATATTTACCAAAGCATAAACATCGGAAAAATTAAAAAAAGTGCACCGCTGATCACTCAGTCATCTTTTAGCACCTTTTAGCAACCAAAAACCAAAGCTTTGATGGGCAGAGCAGCTTAGGGAGCTGTACATTTGGTGTGAAAACGGAAGCTGTGGTTGGTTGAACCTTATCTGCATCAAAATATTGATTTTATTCAGCAAAGTGCTCTCATATTATCAGCTTAATATCTTAACACAAACAGGAATTTACTCAAATAATTTAAAAAGTGACACAATTCACATATTTTGCATTATTAAAACACGAAGTGAAGTTTTTTCAACATCATAATCAGATATTAAATCATTGTTTTATTCTACTTACAAAGATTGGAAGCAGGATATCCTTGCATTGTTGTTTACTGAGGCTGAGGAAGAATTAGCAATTTTCATTTTGCAAAACTAATGTGTCATGTTTAAAGAGGGTAATGTTGAATTCTTTTCAGCTCTGCTTTTGTTATACACCAAAAAAAAAAAAAAAAAAAAATTTAATGAAATATGTTTAGTATGTTATTGAGTTTTCTATTTTAAGTATCAAAAATTCTTAAAAAAAACAGAAAATACTTTGCAGATAAAATTTTTTTTTTTTTTAGCTTTTTTGCTTGAAATAAAAAGGTGTTTTCAGGTAAAATGTCTGCAATCAGTTGTGGGAGGATCCCTAAGAGCTTCTCTGAACTCACTCTAGACATTTCCATACTTTCTTTAATCAATATGAGAATACAAATAATTGAATAAATAAACACAAGGACAAATGGCTCAGTTTTGTTCTTTTCATGTAAGAAAACTTTTTAAGAAATAAAATGAAATCCAAATTGTATAAGAAAAATAATAATTGTGAGTGGCAGGTTTTATTTTTAAACCTGACAACTTATATTTCAATCTGAAAAACTCACACAGAGAGAAAAGATAATTAGAAGAATTTATTGATAAGAAAGTATAGTCTTTGGCGCTCAGACCTCGGCAGGAACATTCATGCTGAATTATGCTTTAACATGCATGAGTAGATGAATGTGAATAGGGATGTTCCCCCCGGGCCTGAAACTGGTGGTGGTTTAATCCGAGCTGGTTGACAAGGTGATCTGCTGGGCAGAATTGTGGGACTAGAAGACTGAGGGAGCTGACGCCGGGGCATCATTCAGACTCGGGATATAGAGGTCCTGCTCGGTGATGCAGGTACCGTGAAGTGTCCATGATGAGCAAGCATGAAGCGACAGTGGAGAGGAAAAACTCCCCTTTGGGAAGAAACCTCTGGCAGAACCGGGCTCAACATGGTGGTCTTCTGCCGGACCAATGCGATGAGACGAGGGATGGTGACAACTGGGATTAATACTCTCTGATGAGGTTGAGGTGAAGTCGTGTCATGGAGGACGATTCAGCTGCGATGGCGGAGAAGGGGATGGAGGTGGGTGAATTGTCGTCTGGATCGAAATCCGACATTGCGATTGCAGGATAGCGGCTGTGGTGAGATTTGAGGGAGTTTATAAAGTGGAAGCAGGACGCTGATTGGGCTTCGTGGTGGAGTAGTTCAAAGCTGATTGGCTCGCTTCGGAGACGGATCGGCTTCTGATGATGTGAGGTAAGTCAGAGTTTCTTCAATTGAACTTTCGCTAGAGCTTCATTTCAATCTGAAAAACTCACACAGAGAGAAAAGATAATTAGAAGAATTTATTGATAAGAAAGTATAGTCTTTGGCGCTCAGACCTCGGCAGGAACATTCATGCTGAATTATGCTTTAACATGCATGAGTAGATGAATGTGAATAGGGATGTTCCCCCAAAAAACCGAGGTCGAGGCCGGAGAGTCCGTATGCTCGTAGGGCATACGCTAGGGACAGAATAAAGAATGCGTAATGAAATGCTGAGAAGGTTTGCAAACAACTTACCGAGCCAGGTTGTTGATGAGGATGGCGACCACGGTTGACGCCGAGAACTTACCCATGATTATGATGAACCCACGATGATGATGATTTACCCATGATGATGATGACGATGACGATGATGATGATGAACCCATGATGATGATGATGATGAACCCATGATGATGATGATGATGATCCCATGATGATGATGATGATGATCCCATGATGATGATGATCCCATGATGATGATGATCCCATGATGATGATGATGATCCCATGATGATGATGATGATCCCATGATGATGATGATGAAGATGATGATGATGATCCCATGATGATGATGATCCCATGATGATGATGATGATGATGAGGATGATGATGATGATGATCCCATGATGGTGATGATGATGATGATCCCATGATGATGATGACGATGATGGTCCCATGATGATGATGACGATGATGATCCCATGATGATGATGACGATGATGATCCCATGATGATGGTGACGATGATGATCCCATGACGATGATGATCCCATGATGATGATGACGATGATGATGAATCCTGCGGATGATGATGACGATGGTGCATCCCATTATGATGACGATGATAATGAATCTTGCGGATGAGTCTGATAATGAATCTTGCGGATGAGTCCATATAGAACATATAACATGACGGGATACGGACATGACGAGACGCAGACATGGTGCATATTGATGCATTGGAAATGCAAGCAAAATGGCGTAGGGATGCATGACGAGACACGACGAGACACAGATAGGGAGCATGTGATGCATGGGGAATGAATCTTGCGGATGAGTCTGATAATGAATCTTGCGGATGAGTCTGATAATGAATCTTGCGGATGAGTCCATATAGAACATATAACATGACGGGATACAGACATGACGAGACGCAGACATGGTGCATATTGATGCATTGGAAATGCAAGCAAAATGGCGTAAGGGATGCATGACGAGACACGACGAGACACAGATAGGGAGCATGTGATGCATGGGGAATGAATCTTGCGGATGAGTCTGATAATGAATCTTGCGGATGAGTCTGATAATGGATCTTGCGGATGAGTCCATATAGAACATATAACATGACGGGATACAGACATGACGAGACGCAGACATGGTGCATATTGATGCATTGGAAATGCAAGCAAAATGGCGTAGGGATGCATGACGGGACACGACGAGACACAGATAGGGAGCATGTGATGCATGGGGAATGAATCTTGCGGATGAGTCTGATAATGAATCTTGCGGATGAGTCTGATAATGAATCTTGCAGATGAGTCTGATAATGAATCTTGCGGATGATTCTTGCGGATGTTTACATATAAGAAGAATTGATGCATTAGGGAATGCATGCTAAATGGTGTCAAGGATGCATGACGAGACACAGACCAGACGTGACGTGACACACAGGAGAATGCATATAATGCCTGTCATAAAGGTGAGATTGCATGAATGCGAGCCAGAATGAAGATAGCATGAATAGCCAGGAGACAGCATGGAAGACTGCATGAAGCAGGGAATAATGAAGAAAACTGATAAGGAGTGGGAGTAGAAAATGAGTTAGAGGATAGTCGTGATTAGGTCAGAAAATTATGAAAATGAGTTGAACCACCACCAGTATTTGAAATAGTGTTACCTAGAGGCAGAGAGCACTGAGCTGAGAGAATTGGTGAGAGTTCTGGGCGGATGAATGAGGTATAGGCTGGTGAGCCATCGGCCCAGAGCTGAGGGAAGCCTCAGAACCCCGCGAGTAGCTGCAATGCAGCTGCTCGGTCCAGAACGAATGCCCAGATTACCTACTAGAGGGAAGGCCACTTGATTCTAAGAGTATCCTAAGGTGGTGAAGAACCATGGTGGACGTAGGGTAATGCTTGGGCGAATAAAAGTGCTGAATGCCTAAACATAACGCACTGAGATGATGAAACGTTAGTGACTGCTGCCAGTGATGCTTCTGATGAAGGCATGAGAGACTGGGAGGAGTAGAGACTTATTAGTGGCTTCAACTACTACGAAGTTATCGCAGTGGGCGGACGCGATTCCTTCCCAAAGCCCCACGATGCAAGCTAGCTAGGGTTAGACCTCACACAAGCATAATGGGTGTGAATAAAAGAGGCCATGAACCACCTGTCCTGAAGAACCCCCCAAAACCTACGGATGCAGCATCCGAAAAATTTGAAGCATGGCAGGAGATAGATAATTTCGACATAGAAAAGAAATTTGACCCAATTAGAAGCAGTCAGACCAGGAGATCCGAACGGCAGCCTACGGCAGCCTTCAGTAATCTGACCAAGGAGAGGGACGGAAATTGCCGGATCAAGCAACTGGGAATGAAAGCGCGGCCTTGAGAAATAAGCGCATGGCAAATTAGCTGACCTAGCAAGGAGCGCAATGGCATTAGAAATGACTGATGTAGAACATCAGTTTGTGTGTTTTTTTTTTGTTTTTTTTTTTGAAGAAGAAGAAGACAGAACGATAATCAGAAGTAATAATAAGGGGTGGTAAGATGACGGGCTGCTAAGACTGAGGTACGATATATATGAAGCGTGCACGGCGGGGACAGACTGATCGGATGGCCCTCATGCAGAAGCTCTGAGTAATCACGATAGATGCTGAATGCGGCAAAAAATTTTGGCCAATAGAAAGATCTCTGGTAGACGGAGATCGGATGATTTAAGAAAAACGGTGACGTCACCTGCTGATCGACTTCAGGGGAGGGAAGAATAAGAGACTAAATTAAAATATTCCCCTGAATAATTTAGAACGAGGCTAGGGAAAATATCAGCATGTGTGTTAATAAAAGTATGCCTGATAGAGGCAGACGAAGCATAAGAGCAAACTCAAATAGATAGAAAATTATGAATGAAAACATGGTTGAATACGTCTTACCCTAAGGCTGGCCCAGGGCGGGCGTTCCCTAATGTGAATGAGGGGAGGGGGAGGTCCGTCTGAGCAGACAGCGGCAGGGATGACGTGGCAGTGCAGGGATTCCCATGTTTGGAGCGTGCGGACAGCGTCGAAGGATTGAGTGAGAGAGTCCGGTGGAGCGGAGGGAGGCTGAGAGCTGTTAAACGCCAGAAGGACTAGACGGGGGAGCTGCTATGAATCAGGAAGCTGGAGAGGTCCAAGGCTGCATCGAAACGATGAGAAGGAGCGGACATAGCGGTGACTGCTGCTGGGACAGATCCGGGAGGCCTTCTGCGCCTGGCGAGGGGAGCGGAGGACTTGCATGACTTTTGCGGCCAGGAATCGGAGCGGATTGAAGCGGAAGGCGAGGGAGATGAATCACGAGGAGGTAGGAGGGAGGCTCGTTAAGACATCTGAGCAGGGTCTAGGTCGGAGCCTGGCAATATACCCTTGGAGTGTAACGCGGAAGAAGGAGATGAGAGCGGCTAGACGGGAGTTTCTTCGAGCGGGGAAAATTGAATTGTCGTCTGGATCGAAATCCGACATTGCGATTGCAGGATAGCGGCTGTGGTGAGATTTGAGGGAGTTTATAAAGTGGAAGCAGGACGCTGATTGGGCTTCGTGGTGGAGTAGTTCAAAGCTGATTGGCTCGCTTCGGAGACGGATCGGCTTCTGATGATGTGAGGTAAGTCAGAGTTTCTTCAATTGAACTTTCGCTAGAGCTTCATATTATAATAAAAACTTTAATATACTGTATATTTCCATTTATTTCCATGTATTTTCCATTTAAATTGTGTTTCATATAAGAATCAGAGAAAAAACTTTTATCACAAAAAATATTTTAACACATATGATGTGTTTGCTTTACTGTAGGTGCTACACAGGTAAACAAACAGTTGAGATATATACATAGATAAATGTATGGCACTGAAAAAACAAATTCAAGTTGTATAAGAATAATGCTAGAGTAAAGAAAAATAATACATTAGTTGCAGAGAAATAATGACATGGTGTATATTTACATTTACATTATTTAGAGTTTGCATTTGGCCGACGGAAGAGAATATGCTGTATATAAATATTTGGCAAAAAAAATACTTTCTAGTCATTTTCTCAAAAAAAAAAAAAAAAAAAAAAAGAGTATTTACTTATAAATTGGGGAAACATTTCTGAAGAACCGATAAACTTCTTTTTAAAGCTTTAATGGCCAAGTTGGTTCGAGCTAAAGCAGAATCGTTTGGAATCTGGGCCAGTCAACTACTAACTTTTCCAAAGCACCAGACAAACCAGTACAGGGATGAAGCTCACTGGGATGATGGTGAGAGCCACCACCAGGCTAGTGGGGGCATCCTCAATCAGATCTTTTCTTTCTGTCTCTGTGCAGTCCTGGAAATAGGTGGAGTGGATGTAGATGAAGAAGTCTTGGATGTCAGTATTAGGAAAAAAGCAGCCAGAAAAATCGGCCACTGTCTCCAAACATTGCGTCAGATCATTGTAAGGCCTGCACCAGATAAGAAAGAAATTAATTAATGTATGAGAGTTACTTTATAAACAATAAGATTAAACAAAAGAAATTCTGTTTGGGTGTCAATGGTGTGTGAGGGAAACAGAATGGCTGCTTTCTAGATTTAGTTGCAAAAATATTAAAAAGAAGAGCACAAAATTTATGAAAATATGCACAATACAATTTTTAACATTAATGCTTTTCTCTCTTTTTCAGACTAAAGCAGTTTAACTTCCTGACCAGATTCTTATTTTTTGAAAATATAACTGAAACTTCACATCTGAATTCTAAAGCTCTGACTTATTGTGGAACGGCAAACATAACTAAAACTGCTGTGGTTAAACTACTTCCTGATGGTGCATAAACAGAGCAGAGGATTGAAACAGAGTTTGCGTGGTGTGTGTGTGTAGGGGTGTGTGTGTGTAGCTCGGTGGGATACAAAAATGGGTAGGTGTGTATGTTTTTTTTATTTGTTTTTAGAAGAGGGTTCATTGGTTTGGCAAGAAGAAATGGAAATGCCTTAGCCCCAGTTCTGATAAGGGATATTCCACATTAAGAAATCAGACATCAAAGCATTTTATTGTTACAGTAGACTAACAGCGTTTATGTGCAGACATCGTTTGACTTACAGTCTGCAGTCTAAAATACTCAGTTTTTTTAAACCATTCTCTATATCTGTAAACATGATATGAATAAAATGAATATTTGCAGTTGACCATGTCCTCTCTCTCTTCAAACAAATCTTTGAACCAAACACTCTTGAGAAACAAAAATCTAATTCCTTATCTTATGATGAGCTTAGACAAAACTAATATAAAATCATGCCAATAGATAATATATGTAAGGCACACTTGCTTTTATGCAATTTATAAGCTATTCTCAATTTTTAAGACATTTTTAAAGACAAAAGTTGGGACTTTTCTTCAATAGCTTCCAGGTCATGAGACCTACTGAACCAAATTCTTTGTGAAATTGTTTTACTACTTTAGCCAGATGGGAAACATTAATTTTTATTCCATTTTAAGCCTTCGTATATTTTTAAACATTTTTTTATTACAAAAATAATTGATATTTCTTCAATAGCTTCCCAGTCATGTGACCCACTGACTCCAAATCTATGTAAAATTGTTCTACTACTTTAGCCAGATGGGGCACACTAATTTTTATTTCATTTCAAGCCTTTGTGTATTTTTGTTTACCCGCTGGGGCAGGCGGGGGGAGGCATGCAGTCACCAGGTCGGGTTCGCTCACTTTAGCTAACCTTGAACAGCAAGCTTCAAATGTTCCACAGCAAATTAATATCTCCTTTCAGATCCAGAATCTGGGATTTAAATTAGTTTATACATATTGGGATTGACACAAGTGTCCTGAAAAGGAATGAATGGTTGATGATTTATCCATCAATATTAGGTTCCTGATCCACTGCTGGGAGTTCCACTCCCACAGACTGCCACTCTGGGTATCTGAGCAAGACGCTTAACACCACACTGCTCCCTGGGCGCCACACAATGGCAGCCTGTTGCTCCCAAAGGGGATGGGTTAAATGCAGCGAGTTCATTTTGTTGCTCTGTAATTGTGACAAAGTAATGACTATAAAAATCTGTGAAAAAAAAGTAATAAAATGGTAATAACATAGCAATTTACACTATATTACAAGGTAACAAGAAAAAACTTAATGGAGAACTTTGGTAAGTGCTGTGCTTCAAATTTTAGATGGAAAAGGTTAAGTCAGACTCCTTGTATTTTAAACAGTCATTACCAGTTACCTCATTCATTTCACGACAGCAATAAATTAATGTGTTATTATTAAGTAAAAACTGTTTGTTACTTGGCATATAACAAAACACCAAACCTAGAAGTCAGCAAGCCAACTTTCTGAACTAAACTCTTATTTATATGTCACTTGTGTTCATTTTTAGGCCATTGATAAGTGGTGGCCGATAACAAACTGTTGTGTGTTTACTTAATGGTAATTACCCACCCAAAGTCTCTATTATTACATAGTAAAATACAGTTGTAATAATTACATACAGGTAATTACTTTGAAAGGGTATGACTTAATTTTGGGGCAATTACCGAATAAAGATTTTTTTCTTCTTACCAAGTAATATAATGTGACTTGCTATGTTATTACCAAGTTAATACATGGTTATTGATGTACTGTAAAAGAAAGCGTTACCATTTTACATGATCTCACAATGACAAGGCAGAGTCATCAGATGAACAAAAATTAAAGCAACTGGTCTTGAGCACAAAATAGAAGAAAATGTGTCTCTCGATAGTGCATATTTGTTAAGAAGAAGCAAAGGAGTTAAGCTATGGATTGAGTAACCAGAATTTTACCTAAGTAAGTAGTGATATTTTATCATATGAAGTAACAGTAAAAAGTACAATGCTGTAAAACTACTCATAAAATAATTTTTGTATCGACCCACTTTTAAACCACTGTGATCAGTAAAAAGCAACAAGAGATTGCAGATTGAGTGTGACGTAGTTCAAAGCAAAACATACAACAGCTGCAGCACCTCAACTCTGCTGGTGCACATAAAACAGAGAAATCTTACACTCCTTTGCTGCACCTCTAAACAGTAAAATATGTTGATCAAATGCATCTGACGCAGAGAATAACCATCTTATGCAGGTGATTATTGGGATTTGTGATGATTTTTCCTTTGCTTCAAAATCCTGGCAGGATGATCTAAATGCTCACATGATCTCTGTGAATGGCCTTATTTAATGCGATGTTTGGTTTATGTCTATATTGTGAAGTACTTTGAGGACAGGGTAAATTAGAATTTTTGGGGGATTTTTTTTTTGTGTGTGTGTGCAATTAAGTCCTAAAATACAGTGGCCAGGGGGTGAAAATAACAACTTATCTTTTGATGGAATGATAAAGGCACAAACATCCTACCCATTATATGTTCCAATCAAAAAACAATGTTACTTCCATTAAAAAGAACATTGCTTTAAACAAAAAAAAAAAAAAAAACAATGACTTCCATCAATGAAAACATTTTCAATCAAAGAAAAGCATTGTTCAAATTTATTTTGCTGAGTCTCAACTATGTTTTTGCACTCAATTTTTTTTCTTTTTTTTTATTGAAGTGAAGGTTTTTTAATTGAAAATGTTTTTTTATATAATTGCAAATAATTTGTAATAATTTGCAAATATTTTATCTCACAACAAATTTAAAAGATCCTGCAGAATTAAGTAAAACTAGCAAGGATAAATATTACACTGGAATACTGTATGCAAAATTGAGACTAACATGTATCCACACAAAACATTTGCAAAGTAAACATGCTGCAAGTAGCAAAAACAGCTGCAAGTTAAAAAAAGTTATTGTATTAACTAGCACCGGATAACACAAGAGCTCCAGGCCACAAGGGGATGGCCATCATCCACTCATGCCAATCAGGATTGTGTACATAACTATTTATCTGCTGTATCAGCATGCATAACAGGAAATTGTGTTGGGAAATTGTCCAAACTGGCTTTGGTCCCTGGGGGCCACATTCTACGAAATCCAGCCCCGTCTCATTTCCTCCCTACAAAGAGTGCATGGCTGCAGCCTACAGACCTCCATTGTCATAGTGCTGATATCATGACAGAACTTAAGCCACGCCCACGTGTTCTAATCCCTCAAAAACCTCATATCACATATCACTTTATATATATATATTTTTTGGTGTGATCAAATGTGCTTTTTCTCAACATTTTGCATATTGGGTAGGTACAATGAAAGAACAATGGAAAGAGTGATATTTCAGGAAAGTTTTTGATGATTTAGGTGTGAGTCTCGTGTTGAGTAAGGTTATGGTTAGTATATAGAAGACTAGACTAGAATCTGCAGCCAAACTTGTCTCTTTTCTAGTTGGGCATTCCTTTTAAATCACATAATTACTTTTCCTTGTCTGGTCTAAGCAAACCTGGTCACCCTTAGTTTGCTTTTCAGAAATTATTTAAGACATTTATTTTCAAATTAATCAATATTTTTAGTGTTTTCTCTCATATACCATTCTACATGTTTCTACAGCAGTCTAAGTTTCTCTCGTTAGTGTCATCCTCTCTTTAATTTGTAACATTTATTTTCTTGCTTGCAATGCAAACCCTATTACTCAAAATTCCAGACCAGGCCAGGTCTGGAATATTGCTGCATCTCAGTCAGGTGGACTGATGTTGCTGCATCAGTCCACATTGTTTCTTGTGGCAAAAATTCTTCAATATAGGTAAGTAAAATATGTTTGGAGCCTTGTGAACATCAAGGCTCCAAAGGTCTGTAAACATACATTTTGAAAGAATACCTGATAATGCTTTTCAGGACACACCAGTCTTCTCTGCTGATGTTTTGCATCTCTGCATGAAAAACTGCACCACAGTAGTTGTAACTATACTCCCTCAGGGTGTCCTGGTTGCAGTGTTCTGGTAAGATTACATTCTGGTCCTGGAAGTTTTCTGAGGATATAGAAAATTAAATATAACGTAGATACAAAGGCAGATTAAAATCTCAAACTGCTCCACTCAGCAGATTCTGAGGGTTCTTTAATGAAAGTTCAACTTTGATTCTTATTCTTTATTTATTATGTGTTTTTTTTTTTTTTTTTTTTACATGAGACTGGAGTGCCTATATCTTTTACTCACCATTATCCTCATAGATAATTGATGTGTTGTTTTTTTCCAGCTCGCTCTCAATCTCATTCAGCTTTTCTTTGTCCAAACTTGTTGCCTCATAGTTTGGTTTTGTTGTATCTGCAAGAAAGAAACGAAAATTCTTCACTGAGAGAACCATTTTCCTCATACTTATAAAATTAAAATTTAGGAAGCAGTCAATGTTTTCTGTGTTAATTATATTCTCGACTTTCTCTCTAATCTTTTGAAGCTCATAGTTATCATTTACCTTTTTTTTTTTTCACTAGTACAAGATGATTTTTCTTTACGTTTCTGAAAAATATTACATGTTTAAGCTTTGATTAATAAACCTTTAGAAAAGTAACGTTTTATTCATAACTTAAAACCCTAAACTAGAGAGGGTTTTTGTAGCAGTATTTTAAATCAAGGTATTATGTATAACTTGAACTCTTTGTTATACAAACATTGAAATTGAAAATCTTTTTTGCAATCCTCCATTTGTTTTGCTGTGAAATAATATTTAAGCTGTTTTCTTTAATGCATCAAAGCTGTAGCAAGTAGCTGATGGCAAATCTAAAAATTGAGTTATTATATAAACCTAATATCTATTAAAATGACTTAGTTGGCAACAACAATGAACAATCCATAAGGCTGAAAGTCAATATTAGTTTTTATACTAATTCTAAAAAATCTATATGATTGAAATCCACAAATCAAAATTACTTACAAATGCCATAATTAACAAATATTTTCCATAGGTAATTAGAAACGTTATTTCTTATTACTAAGGTGAGATATTTAAGCTTATATTGTTTCCAAGACAGAAAGTTGAAAGACTAATAAAGAAAATATCAGAAAAAAAAGAGATTCGAAATTAGTAAAACAATCTACTAACATAAATCATTACATTTCTAATTAATGTTCTATCAATTTAATTAGTAAGTATTTGTAAACTAAAATAACCTTACTGTTCCTATGTGTAGAAACACCAAATGTTTGGTTCTTGTAGAGATCTTCTGTGATGTTGGCTGGTTTAGACGTGACACCACCTGTAAATAAACAACTGCAATAAGCAAATAGACCAATAGAAATACATTTACCCTTATTCTGCTCCTGCACGCCGTGAGAAAACAGATTCCCGTAATAAGTATCTAATAAACATGAGGTCATACAATCCCAACCTGGGTTTTAGATCATGCTTACAGAGGATGGCAGCAAGTAATAGCAGGTAGGAGATCATGGCGGGTCGACGATAATCAAAGTAGCAGGAATCTATGGTGGTTGGTCTGAGACTCAAGGACGCTCTAAGGATAAATGCCTCAGTCCTTTGGTGTGTTTCCTAAACAGCCCAGCCCCCTTTATCCTCACTCTTATCCCTGCTGATGTGCAGAGGTATGCTGAAGTCTTGTTTTTGGAAAAATAACCAATAAACTGACGACATCAAAAGATCAAGAGACTAATAGCTTCTTTTAAGCACTTGGAATAAAGGAGAGCAAACAGAAACCTAAGAATTTAATATTTTTAATGACTTACTGCCTTTCTTTCTGGATAACTTTGTTCCTTAAGTAACTTAAAAGTTATTTTGAAAATACCAACCAAATCAGGGAACTTTATATATTTTTTTCTCAAGTCAAAGGTTAAATAACTTTTTAAGCCTAATGTAAAGGATAAATATATTGAAGAAATTTGGAGACATACTTTATTATCATAGAAATATATTATGCAATCATTATCTGAAAATCTGTTCTTATTACCCAAACAGATTTAGCATATTTAAAGAAAAAGTTAACTTTTTTTTTATTGTGAGTTATTGTTGTATTTATAGTTATTTATGTGAAATTCTGTAGCAGCTACCTGAAAACTGCACTGTTGTTTTTTTTTTTTTTTTCTCTATGAGATAAAATCTCTTTCATGTTCCTGAATTATGATTTAAAGATAAGGACTACGAACACCAATGATGGTACTGTAGAGGAATGATGTTAGGATTTCTTTATCCCAACAAGAATATACTGTAGACAAAACTTTTTTTAACTAAAAATTCCCTTTTTGTGCAACATTGCAAATGTTCTTTCTAGATGGTTTGATTAAGTTTAGGCAATTAAAACTTTGCCTGTTTCTCAGTCACTTGCAACATATTGAACAACCACTGCTGTCCATCATTGACTAAAGACAATTTTTGATTGGATTTGCAAATAAATTTAGTCTTCTTAAAATTAAAATTTAATACTTAGAAATATAAAGCAGTTTCATGCAAGCTGCTGCAGACCATTTATGAGATGTTTTGTTGGCCTATAGTGAGACTGAAAGGGTTTGTTTTGACTCTAGTAGATCAAAAAGCACTGACATAAACAAATCAAGCTGCTGACTATCTTGATGGTTCTGGTTCTCATTGTTAACGAGGCGGCAGTTTCCTGTTATTTAAAGATGGTTCCTGAAATCATCCAAAGAAATGTTCTACTTACATACATGTTAGTGAAATAAGGGCAAAGCTAAAAAACATAACTGGCTTTTCTTGAAAAAAAGACATAAAACAGCCTCTGTGCGAAAAGCTGCAAAACAACAAAGCAGGTTCTTAACACCATCATAAAAATATTTACATCTTTTACATCATTTACATCTTATAACAGCATGACTTTCCCTCAGAGTGACATTCTTCAGTACCAGAAGTATAAAAACAACAACTTCCTGTGTTTTGTGGCTTGTTAATGCACAGCATGTCAAAGCTTATTGTAAAGGCTTCTTTTTTCATTTCAGCCTCTGAAACAGGAAACTGCTCTGTGCCATTCAATGGTATGCTTCTTGTTGAGAGATGGTTACAGACACAAAGAGTGTTGACGTGACTATCCAGGTTAAAATCTGTTGTTTTACCGCTTCGGTTTGTTCTAAAAGCTGCTGATTGTGCACAAAACGCAGTGAAAGTGGGAAATTCTATATCTATTCTATACATCGAAGTGTATTGATGACCTTTGACCTCCTAATTCCTGCACAAAACTGCTTCCAGCTAATGTTTTTGTTTTTTTCTTTTGTTTACTCTTGCCTCAATAAAATGTGTAAGGATTTAGAAGCAATACATACAAAAATCACCCATGAACAACTTATGGATGAAGCTGCAAAATAATAATAAAAAAATATTTATTAGTTTAATTTTAATTGTTTATTAAATGCATCTGTAAACTTTATTTTGTTCTGAGTTTATTAAAAAAGTCAGGAAAAGGTTTAGGTTATGATGCTTCGGTACACATATGGATTCTTTAAATTCTTTGATTTTGGATTTTTTTTTTATTTAAATATTTTTGCGGACAATAATTAATTAATCTAATTATTTCACAAAAACAGTTTGCATAAGTCCTTGGAGAGAAAAGAGCTGATAATTAAATTAGATGGACAAAGTATTTCCTTTTTATAAATTCCATTCTAACTTGATGAACTTCTAGTTCTGGTTAAGAGTGCATTATGGGTCAATCCCATTAAATCCAAAGAGCCTGGGTGGCCTTTTTGTGCATAACTCTTCCTCTTATTTAAATCCTCCTTTTTTTTTTTAAGACTGTAATACTGATTGATTGGCTGTTGGTAAATATTATAAGCTGCAAACAAAATGTTTTGCTTTCAGCCTCTTTCTCATACATGATACTGATATAAGACATCTTAATCAATTGGTTTAATCAGACTGCTTTGAATTTCAAAATCAGCTGATCTTAAAGTGCAGCGGATGTGCCTGTGCTTTTGCGCTATTTAGCTATAGGCTCTAAGAGAGTATACAAGATCAGGACATCATAGAAAATGCTGAAACATTGTTGGAAATTCCACGAAATTCCACACAATTATTGTCACTATCAGCTAAAAACCGAAAGCAGACATTTTAACGAGTTTAGCTCTGATTTGTTGTTTACATATTGTTTGTTTACATATTTCTTTTTTTTAGTGCAGAAAAATTACCTTTTTTGTTAAAACTTAGGAAAAATAAGTAAAAAAAAAATTAACACATACCAACTACTGTGTAGCCTGTTTAATTTTCACTTATTTATAAGGTCAGTACATGTCTGCAGTACAAGTGCAATAAGCCAAGTCCACTACTGTGTGTATTCTGTAAACAAGTGAAACAGACTCCAGGACATTACAAATGTTTATTTTTTTTAATGCTTTTTATATTGTTTGTCGTATTTCTATCTTTAATTGCATCTTGCTTTAACTATTTGTTCTCTATATAATATACTGGAATCAGAATTTCCCTGAAGGAGTAATGCCAAGGGCTAAATAAAGTTGAGTCTAAGTCTAAAAATCTTTTAAAATTATGGGCCCTTTCTTTATTCATAAATTCATACAGTACATATATAGCTCTTTTCCTAAACAACTGACTCTTTCCCCTTAACTGTCTCACATTTAGTTTTCCTCTCCATCAACAGTTGTTAGAGTTACAGCTTTAGAGAAAACCAGAAATCAGGAGAGACACATTTAATGGGTTCATACTCCAGTCTACCCTGCAACAACAGTAGAAGGGTTTTATAATCAGTCACAGATTCATGCAAGTTTATTTAATGTGTTAAAGAATTTTCTTGTGAACAGATTCAAACTCAGAAAGAAAAAAAACCCAATATAGCAGCTCTAACATTGAGGTAAAATATTTCATTTTATTAGTCTTTGAGGTGAAAGAGGTTTCCTAAAGGTTATCTTCTCTTGCACCATATCTGTTATTTTTGTCATATATTTTTCAAAGCAGTTAAAGAAAAGAGCGTCATTGCAGAGCTTTGGAATTTCTAAAACTTAAATTTCACCTGCCTTGGAACAAAACATTTCTATAATCTCATCAGACATTTAAATCATTTCAGAAAGTGTTTCTTTCACGAATACAGTATTCATATTTCTTCATAAACTGACCACTTTAAACGAAGAAAAAGTCCCGTACTGTATCAGATAGACAACACGATAGACAGACTGACTCATGACACCCATTTGAAGGAAGAGAAACGACAGTCTGCACTCTGCCAAAACATCAAATAAACCACCCCTCGTCTCCAGATATAGAGACACACTGACACATAAACGTATCGTGACTAAGTTATTATCATTTGAAATCAATGTCAAAAAGAAAACATGTACTGCATGTTGGGTTTGGGGCTTTTAATACTGGGTAAAAATTCAGTTTCGGGGTAAAAACGAAAAAAAGAAAAAAACATTGTATAAAACTACGATAAAAAACTGCACATTTATTTTCTTCATTTTTGATTTTTAAAGCCCAATGATGCTTTGATGCTTCAATAACAGCCTCTTTACACTGCCTCTTTACTCTAAACATAGGAAATCAGAATGAAGTACAGCTAAATGTTGGTAAATTAGCCCTCTAGTGATGAAATTAAGCTACTACAAAACAGACACTCCATCCATCCAAGGGGATCCCAAAGCAGAAATAAATTCACCCACTGATATGAAAGTAGTATGTTTTTTCCCTTTTTTTTCTGACCAGAGGCCTGCCACCTTTATAGTTTCACACTTTCTGCCTTTCCTGTTTCACTATTGCACAGAACGAAGCTCGTAAACAGAACCTTTTGACTGAAGTGAGCAAAATGAGAACAAACCTTCCTGTTTCAGCAGGAACAGCTTTTTTCACTACTAGAGATGATATCCTTAAAAAGAGGAAAAAACACAAAAAATAGATTATTTAATTGCACATTATGTTTCCCAAGTTTTGCTGAGTTAAACATCTTCAAAGTTCTGTCTAACAGAAGGCTAAAAGAGGAAATATATTATTTCTTCTATATCCATCCACAAGAAAAAAAGGAAATTCAGTAATAGAAGATGATCAGTCTTTTTGGACCATGTTAAAACAAAAAAACATAAAGGATTATATTTAAATCAGGTTGCAGGTGCTGAGTTTGGTTAGTCAAACAACAGAGGTGTGAAAGCCATTTCAAGGCTGCCTTTGCAGGTGTTAAAGCAGTAAACAGTGTTTTCTAAACTTATAAATAAACAACATTAGTCCACTATTATTTTACGTGCTTGCACATCTTTGTTTAAAGGAAACCCTACTCTTTACAAACGTTTTATCACAAGTCATACTTTAGGTTGGTGTGAAGTGTTTTGCAATGTCTTATTCAGATGGCATGCACTTGACTGCTTTTTGCTGAATTTCCTTCCTCTTTTAAGCCTTAATAAAAAAACAGCAAAGATTGATGTTTTACTTTATTCATGCACAACCAGCGACGACAATGAAATGTGAAAATTACATTAACACAGAAAAGGAAAGAGTAACCAATAACAGTACTGCTTCATCATATTTGACCTTGAGTAACAGTAAAAATTAGCCCCCCACGAAATCACACAAATAATAATGAGAAAGTATTTTGTAAGAAGGCTGCTAAGTACT